CAGTACGACCAATAGTAGTAGTAGTAGTAGTAGTAGTAGTAGTCGTTTTCGTAGTCGTAGTAGCAGCGGAAGTAGTAGTTGTAGTGGTCGTAGTCGTTATCGTAGTAGTAACAGTAGTAGCAGCAGCAGCAGTAGTGGTAATAGTAGCCGTAGTAGTAGTAGTAGTAGTAGTAGTAGTAGTAGTAGTAGTAGTAGTAGTAGTAGTAGTAGTAGTAGTAGTAGTAGTAGTAGTAGTAGTAGTAGTAGTACGTAGTAGTAGTACGTAGTAGTCGTAGTAGTAGTAGTAGTAGTAGTAGTAGTAGCAAGTAGTAGTAGTAGTAGTAGTAGTAGTAGTAGTAGTAGTAGTAGTAGTCGTAGTAGTCGTAGTCGTAGTCGTAGTCGTAATACACATGGTACACATAGGACATGACATAAGTATGTGGGGTTCCTCGGTAGCGTAACTCAGCAAGAAAACGAATGTGCGTGTCGCTGAGGCGTGAACCACATTTTGAAAACCACCCGCCCCCATGTGTGAACGGAGTGTGCGCGGCGCTAAGGCGCTAAGGCGAGAGCCACATTTTGAAAACGACCCGCCCTCAATCCGTGAAGCTCTTGCACATGTTTGAAACCAATGTGCGCGGCGCTAAGGTGTGAGCCACATTTTGAAAACGACCCGCCCTCAATCCGTGAAGCCTCTGCAAATGTTTGAAACGACTGCGCGCGGCGCTAAGGCGAGAGCCACATTTTGAAAACGACCCGCCCTCTAGCTGTCAATGTTGTCCCTTTTTAAGCTTCAGAGTCCTAAATGGTGAGGAAATCTCAGGCGAAACGCCCGGCCCGCCCTAAATACTGGCCTCGGGGCTCGACAGGGAGAAGTTATTCATAAGGAAAAAGAAGGGGGGGGGAGGGCGAGGAGGAGGAGGAGGAGGAGGAGCAGGAGGAGGAGGAGGAGGAGGAGGAGGGGGAGGAGGCATAAAGCGGAGGCAGAAAGAGGAGGAGGAGGAGGAGGAGGAGGGGGAGGTAGAAGAAGGAGGCAGAAAGAGGAGGCAGAAAGAGGAGGAGGAGGAGGAGGAGGAGACGTACCAGCCCACTGGATGGCGCTGGGGACGCCGGGTGGCGCTGGGGACGCTGGGCTGCGCCGAGTCACGCCGCGCAGGGAGGAGGCTGAGCGCGCCGCTGAACGTCTCGGCGGCCTCGCAGGGCTGCTGCCTGCGGAGGCCTCGCCCCGCACCTGTCCGCGGCGCAGCGCGGGCGGCCGCGCTGCTCCCAGACATCTGGCGTCTCGGAAACATAGAGACGTAAGTTTTTTGTCGATTTAGGCCTATCGGGGCCCTCACCGGGCCTCGGGGCCTTCAAAAATCGACCCGGGATGAAATGTTGGTCCTGGGGAAGCGGTCGAGAGGTCGGGGGCGCGCGTCTCGAAAAAAACGAGACGCCCGATGTCTGAGCTTCTGCAGCGCCGTTGCGGCACCAGAAGATTGACGCAACTCCCCTGGAGCACGCCGCGGCGGCCATCGCGGCGGCCGCCGCGGCAACATGCGACGAGGCCCTCCTCACCCCCAGCATAATATGTCTTGAGTTTTTTCAATGAGGGGTCCCCGGAAGTCCCGACCCATTCCCCAGGGCCAGTTTTTTATCGCCCCTCGTCTTTTCAAGGTCCTGGGGCCTGGAAGTGCCGTGCCCACTCTGGTGTCCCGGTTAACTGGTACTAAACCGCAGCCATAAGGCTTAAAAGGGTAGAAATAAGAAGCAAGAATCGTCCCAGCAAGACCATACCTCGGACACTCAAAAAGCATCAAGTCGGGTAGCCGCAATGGCGTGCCCAGGTCAAAGCAGCTTGGTCCTGATCAAGCCGGGGCAGTCGGCGGCGAAATCCGAACCCCACCTTCACCGATGGATCAACAATTCAGGCAACTCGATGTGCGGCGGGGCCAAGGTTCGGAAATCGCCGAACACGAGGACAAATCCGAGGCCAACCCCCGCCTCCCATCGATTATGAGTGGTGGTAGGGTTCGGATGTCGCAAACTAGGGCCTAGGGGGCCCTGGGCTCCGTAAGCGGGAGCATAGTAAATGGGGGCATATACAAAGCCTAAGCTCCCGTTTGGCTATGCCCCCATTGAGGGGGCCCTGAGCCCAGATCGAAGCAGCTTAACGTCCTGCTCAGTCCTGGGCAGTTGCGTGACCTGCCCAAACCGAAGCAGCTTGACGACCTGCCAGGATCGTAAACCAGCGCAAGGGCACCCGCCGTGGTGCGTTTCCCCCCCTCCGGGCGCCCAGATGTCCAGGCCGGCTCCCACGCAAGGGTCGGCCCCCTGGCCTCTCCCCAGCAGCTCCTGGCCAGGAGTTCGAGGGCGGAATCCAGCGGGTGGCAAGGCGAAGGAGCCCCGCGAGGCCCAGGAAGGCCCCAGGAGAACGCCCACGAAGCTCGATCCTCGATCCTCCCTGCGATCTCCTCCTCCTCCTCCTCCTCCTCCTCCTCCTCCTCCTCCTCCTCCTCCCGCTCCTCCTCCTTCTCCCTCTTCTCCTCCTCCTCCTCCTCCTCCTCCTCCTCCTCCTCCTCCTCCTCCTCCTCCTCCCTTCTCCGTTTGACTTCGATCCTCCTGCCTTGGTCCTCGGTCCTCCCTTTGATCCTCGATCCCTGGTCCTCCCATTGCTCGCTACCTCCTCCTCCTCCTGCCCCTCCTCATGCTTCTCCTCCTCCTGCTCCTCCTCCTCCTCCGCCTCCGCCTCCGCCTCGACTTTGATCCTCCTCCCTTGGTCCTCAATCCTCCTCCCTTGATCATTGATGAACCCTTTGATCCTTGATCCCGGGTCCGCCTGCTGCTAGAGCGACAGGATTATAGCCTCAATGAGGTGTAGGCAGGGGTGCTCTTCGACTGTGCAGAGCGCCTCGTTGATGACGGGAGCGAGGCCGAACACGGCCTTGTCGGACCCTTCCCTGCTTGTGTTCTCCTGGATTGCGGCCGAAAAGCGTAGGCCGGATGACCACGGCCAGATAGAATTCAACCGGGCCTCCAGCGTAGGTGTCGACGTCAGTGTCGACATCGAGTGACATGACAACCACAACAGACAAGTACAACATGCAGAAACTCCCCCGGGGTCGGCTCGCCTGGAAGCGCCCGACCATGAGGTGCCAGGAGGCGCCACACGCCCTCCTCGCCCCGGGTCACCAGGCCCTCGGCGTGTAGCCAACACGAGTGTCGGCTGGGGCGACCATGACGACCAAATCCAGCGACCCAAGTGAACACGCGCGCCCAGCAACCTTCACAATCTTATATTTTGTCACCGAAGCGTAGCGGAAGCCAGACAGTTGCACCCACCAGCTGCAGGACGCACGCCCACACGCGCCTTCCTCGCCCGCGGGCCGCCGCGTTGAGCGGGTCAGACGGCATGCCGGCCACAGACTCCGTTCCCTGAACATGCAGCATGTGTGAGCTTCGTGTGAAGCGCGTTGGCGGTGTCAAAGGTGATCATCAAGGCAGGTCGTGCCGTGCACCAGCGCCGGCGGAGAGCATACAAGGGTAGCATCGAAGTTTGCATGGCGTGGCGGTAGCCCCGCTGCGGTACTTCTATCATGCAGGCACATACAATGTGGGCCTGTGGCCCCGGGGTGCATTCCCCGCGCTGGTGAAGTCCGTGGAGCCGATGGTGCTGTCCACGAACGGCACCCGGACGCCCCAGCACGTGAAGCTGGTACTCTTCCTCCCCAGGTGGCCAGGGGCGTGCATTCCCTTGGACTGGGGACAGGCACTACGACGAGGGCCAGGTCTTCGCTCGTCGGGGGCCGTGGCGAGGCAGCTGTCGCTCCATGGGAGCGTTGACCCTGGGCAGGCTTGCCTTGTGCTCGGAGATGTTGGACTGCGACCTGGTGTGGCTGGGCGTGGTGATTCCAAGGAAGAGCGCAGGGGCCCGCTGGTCTCGCCTGCCCGCGCTGCTTCGGCCAGTTCGGTACGGCGACAACTTCAAGGCCGAGGTGGAGATGGTGTGCAGCCCCCGGTGACCAGGGATGTGCATTCCCCTGGACTGGGGTTTGGACCGCCAAGCGCCAGAACGGCAAGTCGCCCTCAGTGCTCATTGAGGGAGCTGCTGTGGCTGGCAGAGCACCCTGAGGCGGCCGCCAGGCGCTTCGGGACGTGCAGCAACCCCCGCGCGGCGAGGGGTTACTATAGGCCACTGCCTCGGCTGGGTGCTGGGGGTTGCCAGTATGCGGACTGGAGGCACCGACGCCCAGTTGTGGAGGGAGCAGGCCATGCACATGGGGTGGATCATGGGCCTGCTATTGGCACCGATGGCGAGGGATGTGCATTCCCCTCGGCGGCGCCTTTCCCCCTGCGCGGCGAGGGGTTAGACCACTATTTCCTCGTGGGCGCCAGTGGCCAGGATGTGCATTCCTTGGGCGGCGCGGGCAGTCCCCCCGCGCGGCTAGGGGGTAGTCCACCACGTCGGCCTCCGCTGAGGCCGCGGCCCACCGTGGGCCCGCCGCGCATCGCCGCGGCCTGCTCCGCGCGGGGTCGGGATCCGACCCCCCCTGTGGAGGTGCGCTCCTCCTCCTCTTCCTCCTCCTCCCCCTCCTCCTCCTCCTCCTCGTCCTCCTCCTCCTCCCCCCCCTCCTCCTGCTCCTATTCTTGCTCCAGCTCCTGCTCCTGCTCCAGCTCCTGCTCCTCTTCCTGCTCATTCTTCTCCTCCTTCTCCTCCACCTCCTCCTCCTGTCATCCTCCTCCTCCCCCTCCTCCTCCCCCTCCTCCTCCTCCCCCTCCTCCTCCTCTCGATCCTCCTCCCTTGGTCCTCGATCCGATCAGATAATCCTGCATTGGTCCTCGATCCTCCTCCCTTGATCCTCGATCCTCTCTTTGATCCTCGATCCCCGATCCTCCCTTTGACTCGTGGCCCAGGGCCTCGATCTCACGGCTTGAGAGCCCGCAGGGTTTTGGATGGCACGGTCTCGCGCGCCTTGCCCAAACGGGCACAGGTAAACACGCTTCGCCGCACGAGCCTGCACCAGCGCCCCATTCGTTCGCCTAGGTCCTCGAGCCGCTCGGGGTCGGACGCCTGGGGAGGGAGGACCCATGGCGGCGCCAGCTCCCGCGGATGAGGCGCTGCCCGCGGCGAGGCTGGCAGGGCGGTCGGAGGACGCCAGGGGGGGGAGGCGGACGGAGGAAAGGAGGAGGGGGAGGTGGGGGTGGGGAGGGGGAGAAGGAGGAGGAGCGGGAGGAGGAGGAGGAGGAGGAGGAGGAGGAGGAGGAGGAGGACGAGGACGAGGACGAGGACGAGGCGAGGACGAGGACGAGGAGGGAGGAGGAGGAGGAGGAGGAGGAGGAGGAGGAGGAGGAGCAGGAGGAGGAGCAGCAGGAGGAGGGGAGAGGAAGGAGGAGGGAGGACGGAGGAGGGAGGAGGCAGGAGGAGGAGGAGGATGAGGAGGAGGAGGAGGAGGAGAGGAGGGGCAAGAGGAGGAGGAGGAGGAGGAGGAGGAGGAGGAGGAGGAGGAGGCGGAGGAGGAGGAGGAGGGAGGAGTGAGAAGGAGAGGGAGGGGGGAAGCAGCACGAGCAAGGGGACCGCCGCCGCCGCCGCGACACACTAAGCAAAACTTCCAGACCGCGGGGTGAACATTGCAGAGGGCAGAGCAGGGAGGAGAAGCGCCCTCCCATGGTTTCTCCTCTTCCTCCAGTCCTCCCCTCTACTCCCGCAGCTGCCTTACTCTTCCTTTCTGCCTGGACCCCGTGCCCCTCCGCAGGCGCGCGCGTGAGGCCAGCCCAGCACCCCAGAGCCCTTGTCGGTCTCCCCCTCTCTCTCCCCCCCCGCCGCCCTTTCCCCCCTGCTCCCCTGGCCCCCGACCTGCGACCCAGACCTCGGGGGGTCCACGCCATGCCTGGGCCCCTGGAAATCTGCATCTGTTCCCCATGGATCGGCTTTTCATTCCGAGCCGTTATTTGAAGGTGCCAGGGCCCGGTGGGAGCTTCCGGAGGCTTTCTGCCGCTGCTGCCAAGGGTGGGTGGGAGGGTCCAACGCCTTTCAAAATAAAACCAGGGGGGGGGCTTCCCCTCCCCCAAACAAGTCTCCCTAGGGGTCCAGGGCCCGCCGCCCCCCCCCCCGGGAACACATATTCCGAGGGGTCCCCCCCCCCCTCTCTGGAAATTGTTTCGGGAAGACCAGGCCCCCCCCACGTTTGTCGCTAACACTCCATCATTCGCTACCGAAATTAATTCCTTTGCGCGCTTCCGGTTCTTCGCTACTGGAACTGGTACTGGAAGAATCGGTCGATACCGAAATCCGAGGCGAATTTGAGTGTTACGGACACTCGCTATCGAATTTGTCGTTACCGAATTTGTTCGATGGCGCATGATCGGGGGGGTGAGTTCCCAACCTGCTGGTTCTTGGTTGGGGGGGCAGGGGGAGGGGGAAGGGGGCTGTTGTTTGCTACCCCCCCGTATAAAGTTTGTTCAGGCCAGCGACGGTGGATAGCGCTCCCTCTTCCGTCCTTTTTGTTTCATCCCACGAGGGGGTTTGTTCCATCACACGAGTGGGTCTGGGATTCAATCCATCCCCTGCCCCCCTCCGCCCCATCCCTCCCCAGCCGCACAGGACGGCCGGCTGCCGCTGATGCCGAGATGATCCCAAGCACGCCTCGCGGCGGAACGCCGCCCCCTGGCCGGAGCTGAATGCTCCTCCTCGACGCCGCCTGCTCCTGCGCTCCTGCCTCCTTCTCCTCTTGTTTCTGCTGCTCCTCCTCGCCTTCCTCTCGCTGCTGTTGCTCCCTCGCCTCGGGGGAGAAGGAATGCCCCCTTATTCTCGACACTTGAGAGCAGCCGTAGCGCAAAAAATGGCAGATCTGGAAAACACGACTGGAGCCTTGGATCCCATCTTTGTGCTGCACGTTTCGAACCGGATCGGTCCATGATGGCCCTAGAGCTTGAAGCTGAGTGGCATCGCGTGAAAGAAGTGCATCAATCGGGTCCTAGAGTCGGGTGCGAAGGAGGACTCCCTTCCTTTGGGTTTCCTAGATGTGTTCGAGTAGATGGGGCCAGAGGATTGCGCCGCATCGCCGATGCATCGTCGATGCGGCTCGATGTGGAGCCCGACTTTCTCATCGCCGACGTCGCCGATGCATCGCCAGCGTAGCCAGTGCGTTGCCGTTACATCGCCGATGCGTCGCGATCCTCCGACCGAGTCGACTCCGACCCCATCTGGGAGGCCTCTACTTCCTCTTGGCCGCCGCCTGGCGTGAAAGAGGTGCAACGGCCAGATCACAGCGTCTGGAGCGAAGGAGGGCCCCTTTGCTCTCGGCCGTCGCGCCCCTCCCTGGCAAGTCGCGTCGCAGCGCGTGTCCCGTCGGTCGTCTGTCGTGTCGTCGCCGCCGTCGCCGTCTCGCCCGCCGCCGTTGCCGCCGTCGTTGCTGGCTGCCGGCTGTTTCCTCTACCTGGACCTCGTGTCCCTGCGCGGGCGCGCGCCAGGCCAACCTAGAATCCCAAGAGCATTTGAAAGCACTGTTTCCCCAACAATCCTGTGGTGTTGGGTCCTCGTTTTGAGGAGACGGCGCCCCGCGTTCCTCCTCTCCTTTCCTCTCCTACTGCCCTCCCTCCTCCTACTCCTCCCTCCCCCCTGCGTTTCACACCCAGGACAGCGTTTCGTTGCCCAATAGGGAGCTCCACCGAAGGCTCCAGTGACAGTGGTTGCACGCGTCCCCGCCACCCAATTCGGCACACCCCTCACATGTTTCGTGGCCCCAGAGGGAGCTCCACGAGGAGGAGGAGGAGGAGGAGGAGGAGGAGGAGGAGGAGATGGAAGAGAGGGAGTAGGAGGAGGAGGAGGAGGAGGAGGAGGAGGAGGAGGAGGAGGAGGAGGAGGAGGAGGAGGAGGAGGAGGGGAGGAGGAGGAGGAGGAGGAGGAGGAGGAGGGAGGAGGAGGGAGGGAGGGAGGGAGGGAGGGAGGGAGGAGGGAGGGAGGGAGGGAGGGAGGGAGGGAGGGAGGGAGGGAGGGAGGAGGAGGGAGGAGGAGGAGGAGGAAGGAGGAGGAGGAGGAGGAGAAAGAGGATCAGGAGGAGGAGGAGGAACGAGAGGAGGAGGAGGAGGAGGAGGAGGAAGAGGCATAAGGGAGGAGGAGGAGGAGGAGGAGCAGGAGGAGGAGGAGGAGCAGGAGGAGGAGGAGGAGGAGGAGGAGGGAGGAGGAGGAGGTCCCTGGCAACTGCGAGCCCCGGCACCGGGAGCCCGGGGCACGGCGGTTCCACGCGCGGCCGCCGGCGCCGTCGGCGGTGAGCGCCCTGCAGGCGCTGCGCGCCGCGCAGCTCGCGCAGGCGCGGCCGCCCTCGGGGATCACCCCGATCGTCGAGATCGAGGATGAGGATCGAGGTCTTCGATGATCGAGGATTGACGGTCTCCAGGCCTCCCAGATGGGGTCCGATTAGAGTGTGTCGGAGGATCGAGATGATCGAAGATCGATTGGCAACCACGCTGCGCATTCTCTCTCCTCGTCCTCTTCCTTCCGCTTCCTTCAGGCCTTGTCTCACGCGTTTAGTGGCCGGGCGTGCTGCTCCGCAGTGCCAGCTGATGTGTGAGCTGTGTGAGGCCCGTCGAATGGTGCGGAGCTTGCGTTTTAGATGGGAAGGAAAGACCGAGGATCGAGATGATCGAAGATCGAGGGTCGACGCTCTCTAGGCCTCCCAGACGGGGTCCGAGTAGATGGGGTGGGAGGATCGCGCCGCATCGCTGATGCATCGGCGATGCGGCTCGATCCTCCGACCCCGTCCTCTCCGACCCCATCTAGGAGACCGCCTTCAAACGAGGATAGGGATGATCGAGGATCGAGGATCGACGGCCGAGGACCGCGCCTGGGAGGATCTCGCGGGGAGAATCGCGCCGGCAGACCGCGCAGGCGGCCGCCCTGCTCCGCCAGCGCGACCTGGCGAGCCGGGCGGCGGCGCCAGAGCAAGTCGCCCTGGATGGGGGGGTTCTAGGGCGACGAGATCTATGCATATCCACTGCCCCTGGCCAGGCCCATCCTGGGCCCAGGAGCGGTGTATATGCCTCCCTGGCCAGGCCAGGAGGGCGTATACACCGCTCCTGGGCCCAGGATTGGCCTGGCCAGGAGCAGTGGATATGCATAGATCTCGTCGCCCTAGGTTCTGGGGCAACGATAGGCGGGGATAGGTAGATGGGGGGTCGCATCGACCCCCAATCGCCCATTCATCGCCGAAGGTGCGCTTTCGCCATCGGTGGCCCATCGGCGATGTATCGCCGATTCTAGTACGACGTTCCCCCCCCCCCCCGACAGTCTTCACCTATCGTTGCCCCTACAGGGTGGGCCCTCCTCGCCTGGCGTTCTCGCCCTATTTCGCACCAGGCGGTTCTCCACACTGGGCGGTTTCGCCTCATTTCGGGCCCCGGGGCCCTGACAGCCGGGTGCGGCCCGGAAAATGTAGCAGGCAGCTGGGGTTCGGGGTCCAGCCGTGGTTGTTCACGGGGTTTAATTTTTGGGGGCGGGATGGGCCCTCCACGTCGTGTTTCCCCTGGTCCGTTTCCCTCCGCTCCTTCCTCCTCGGCCTCCGCCGCCGCCGCCTCCTCCTCTTCCTCCTCCCCCCTCCTCCCTCCTCCAGCAGTGGGCTGGGGCCGGAACCCCACAAGTACTGGAGACTCTGCTGGCTGCCACCATGTGGAGGACGGCGACCAAGACCTTGACGGGATGGCTGATGGCGGCCCCTCCTCCAACGACTATGGGCAGCAGCCGAGGCCTCTCTTCCAGTTGTGAAAATCGTTGTGGCGACTGCTGAGGGGGCGACTGTTGAGGGACGATTGTTGAGGGGACTGGCACCGATTGTGAACCGTCGTTGGCGTCGGGCCGATATCATCTTCGGGGGAAACAGACTTGTGAAAATCGTGGCGTGGCACTGGTGCGGGGGCTGCTGGGAAGACGGGGTCTCGATTGTGTAGCGCTTCGGGATGTCCATCACCTGTCATTTCACCATGGCACGCAAGGGTATCATCTTCAAATCGCTCAAACTTTTCCTGGGCTCGGAAACGCGCGCCTCACAAGGGCACATCGACGCGCTGCTGCACAAGGACTCCAAGCGCTGGTGACGCCCCAGATGCGGAGTACTCGACGGCCGAGGGCCCATAACTCCATCAGCTACACGAGCGAGCGAGTTGGAGCGTGGGCTGCCGCGTGGTTCCCTGACGTGCTCTTGGACGACACATCTATCGACAGCCAGGCAAACGGCACACGAAATTTGCGAGCGTGCCTAGACAGCCTCCAACTACGGCCGCCATCGTCGCGAGCTGATACACCTGAGGGCTCACCTATCCGCAGCTGCTGAAGGCCGAAGAGACGCTGAAGCAGCTGAGCACCGAGCCCGCCGCCGATGGATCGGATCGAAGCACCTGTACCAGAAGTCTTCCCCGACGCAACCGAGCCTGGCGCCGACGAGGGCCCGATCGAGGACATGCTCGGCCTGCCCGGCTGGCCGCGGACGCTGGCGCGTGGTTGGGCCACGCTTCGTGCACACCTTGCAGGACAGCGTCCCTCGAGAATGTGGCCAGTGCTGGAGACTCGCGGGCGCTTGGACTACCAGCCACCGCATGCACGTCAATCCCGTGAAGTTGCACTGCCTCCTCGGTTGCCCGAAGACACTTCGAAACATCGACGACACAGCCCACTACCTGGTTTGCCCGCGGATGTGACACCATCTTTACCTTCCTCGCGGTCAAGTTTCGCAGGCGATCCTCCAGCGGCTGGGGCCCGATGGCGAGATCCAGGATGGCGACGACGATATCGAGCACGCCATCGCGCGGATTGCCGTCGGCTTTAAGACCTACCTACAACCAGCTCCGCACCAAGAACGACAAGCCCGTCGTTTCTTCGAGCCCGCCAAACGCGGAGACCAGGGCCGACATCTACAACTTCAAGAAGGGCGCCGTTGCCGCCGCTTGCCGTTCCATGAGGATGCTTGCTTTCCTCGTGGGTGGCGCGGGCCGTGCGGAGCGTAGGCGAAGCCGGCGTTCCGAGTGGGACCTTGGGTCCGTTTCCCTCCTCCTCCCCGCTCTCCTCCTCCCCGCTCCTTCCCCTTTCCCTCTTCCATCGCCCCTCTTCCTCCCGCGGTGGGGGGGAACAGGAGGCTGGGAGGGGGTGAGAAGGCAGGGAAAGGAAGGGGGAGGGGGGCGTTCAGTTAGAGGAGTAAGAGGATCGGCCGGACCAAGTCGATCCAGAGAGCATCGGGGCGAGCCTGAGGAGGAGGAGAAGGAGGAGGAGGAGGCGGAAGAGGATAATGACAAGAACAAGGACGAGGAGAAAGGTGAGGGAGGAGGAAGGAGGGAGGGAGGAGGAGGAGGTGGAGGAGGAGAACGAGGAGAAGGATGCGAGGAGTAGTATGATCATGAGCGGAAGTCGAGTTAGCCAGTTCGAGCGAGGCAGAGGGGACGCCTCCCGCCCTCCCGCCCGCAACATAATAGTCATGTGTGGCACACTTTGATGTTGGGACTGGGACGCTCTCTCACCTTGCAAATCGATGGCGCTCGCGCGCGGCCCCGCTTCCGACGATTCGGCAAAGGTAAAATTACGCGGGCCGCCGCGCATGGGGGGGGAGAGCAGCAAGACTTCCGATGGGCTCGGCGAAGACAAATGATGCGCCGCGCTGACGCGCTGACACGCAGCACTGTCACCTTCCTCTTAGTTTGGACATCTCATTGCGTGCTCGCGGGGTTCTTTTTAAAAGTACATATGCCCACCCTCTCCGCAATGTATTTTGCCGATTCAGTCTGGCTGTCTGGTCCAGACGTGCACTGCCATCGCATAGTGTGCCAAGGAAAAGGTCGGGGGTCCGCCAGGGGATGAGGGCACCTTGCATTTGTTAGTGCACCAGGTGTCTTGCACGTGACCCGGCTGTTGCTTTTTGCCTCCCCCTTCCTGCCTACTAGTTCTCTGTGTCTTTGCAAAGGATTACACTTGAACCCGTTCACACGAGCCCGCCGTACAATGCCAGTCAGCATCACAACCCCAATCACAATCGATGCAAACTCGAGCTCGTTCATACGATCTCTTCGAAGATTCCCAGCCGGCATCATAGTCACAGTCACGACCAGCAGTATCTCAACGTTTAGTTCCCAAGCTTCTCCTCTTTCTGCGATGCTGCTGCTGTTGATTGTGCTCATTGTCTCTCTTGTTCCTGCGCCTGTCTATCTGGCGCTGCTGTTCCGCCTCATCTTTGGTCTCCTACGCTTCCCCTCTTCCACTTCTCTCCTGCTTCGTCCCCGTTTCCATGCTTTTAAGAATCGTGGACGAAAAACATATTCGTATCCGCGGCCTCGCGGGCCAGGCGGGCCAGGCCCCTGGGCCGCGACTCCATGGATACGGAGCGTTTTTTTCGCGGAAGCCTCGCGCGTAACTCATCCGTCCGACCGCGTGTCCGCGGGACCGCGCTTTGAAATTCAGACCGCGAGGCCGCGGATACAGGTATGTTCGCCGTTTATGAAAGAAGAAAACAACATGCGTAAACAAAGGTTTTTGGAGGGCCGCGCAGATTGTTCGGATCTGCGCTCGACCCACCTGGCAGTGCTTCCAGTGCCGCCCATGGCGCGCTGCGAATGCCTGGGAGGGGGTCCAGCGCCGAACCAAGAAATCCGCGCGGAGCTCCAACAGTTTATATGCATGCCTACTTCTTCTTCTTCTTCTAATATCGCGACGCCGAATGGAGGACCCGAGTTCCGCCGAGCTGGCAGATCACTTCCACATCCGCCGTCGTCGCTTCTGGTTCCGCCTCCTCCGCCCGAGCTTCTTGGCTAGGCAGGCCGCGGGCGCGAGCGCGAAGCGTCAGTCGGCCGATCGACGATTGACCCGCTCCCCCGCGCCTGCGTTAGACACCAGGCGCAGAGAGCTGCAAAAAGAAGTTAAGGCGATGGTCCGCGGCGAACCCCACGGAGAGTCCGAGGAACGATTTCTTGTCTCCTCCGCCCCCCCCCCTCCTCTCCTGTCCCGCCCCCGCCTGCACACCGCGATACAAGTGTCCGAAGTGGAGGTTCATCCATCACCACCGCCTGGGGGATCGATCCTCGGGGACCTCGGCAGGCGGTGGACCCGGACATGTTCAGGCCCCAGGGGCCCAGATACGTCCACATCCATTCCCCAGGTGGTTCATACGAGTCCGCCTCGAGGGTGTGTTCAGAACGCACCCTGGAAGAGGTCTGGGGGCCGTCCATCGTCGTCGCCGCCGCTGCCGCCGTCGCCAACCGCCGCTGTCGTCGTTCTCGTCCTCGTCCTCTTCGTCCTTTCTTCTCTCCTCCGGCAGCGTCCTTCCACTAGCCTGTGGATACGGCCGTGTTGACACCGGCGCCCTGCCCAGAGAGAGAGAGAGAGAGGAAGATAAATCCCCATGCTCGCAGAGTGGAGGACCCAGATGTGGCCGAGCTGGCAGACCACTTCCACATCTCGGACAGGCAGGCGCGGCTCCTGCACGAGGCCAGCGGGGGGCTGTGGCACACGCGAGGGGTGCGGGCGCCCCGCGGGGAGCGGAGCGCGGCGGGCGCTGGGCCCTCGTGGCGAGCGCGGGGGCGACGAGCGAGAGCCAAGGGCGGAGGTCACGTGGCCGCCTCTTGCATCCACTTCTCTCGTCTCCTCCCTCTCCTCCCTCTCCTCCTCCTCCTCCTCCTCCTCCTCCTCCTCCTCCTCCTCAATCTACGCGGCAACGAAGGGAAACGCATATTCAATTTACTACTCGCCACGTGGCAGCGTAGATGGGCGAGACAAATACACATCTACGCTGTACGTCACGCGGCAACACAAACGGGCTGAGACATTGCTGTTCTACTTGAACTGTCACGTGGAATTGGAGGGGTGGGCGGACAAAATACGATTCCACCTTGCTCGCCACGTTGCAACGCAGGGGGGGGGGACAAACAAACGATTCTACTTTATACGTCACCTGGCATAGACGCTACTTTGCAGCGTAGAGTTGTGAACCAAATACAGATATACGATCTACGTCACGTGGCAACGCAAGCGGTCTGAGACAGTACTAGTCTACATGGTTCGTCAAGCGGCAGTGCAGGGGAGCGGAACCACGCGATTCCTTTCTAACACGCAACATCCGTCACGTGTCAACGCGGGGGGTGAGGGACAACACATAGAATTCTAGTATATTCGGCACGCATCAGCCCAGGAGGCCGAAAACGCATTATCCCACTTCCTCGTCGCGTGGCAACGTCAAGGGGGGCAGAAAGTACTGTTCTTGTCGGTTAGTCACTCGGCAATGCACGGGGCAGAAAGAAAGCGATTCCACTCTGCTCGGCACGTGGCAACCCAGAGGAACGGAACAACTGTTCTATCCGTCACATGGCAATGCAGGGCGGTGGGGGGTGGAAGCCGTGATAGTTCAGCGTAGGGCGGAAAATGATGCGATCCCACTCTGCGCACCCCGTGACAACGCAGAGGGGCGAAGCACACACACACATATATATATATATATATATCTATATATATATATATATATACTCTAAGTCGTCACGCGGCAATGCAGGGGGCTGGGCAACTTACGATTCCAGTCTGCTCCCCCGGTGGCAACGCAGAGGGGCGAAACAAATCCATACCCGTTCTACCCTCAACGTAGCAACACGTAGGGGCGAGGGGGGGGAAACAACTACTGTTCTAGTCTGCGCGGCCCGTGGCGACGCAGGCGGACGAAAACATATGATCCCACTCTTCTCGTCGCGTGGCAACGCGAAGGGGACGAGAACAGACTCTTCTATTCTAAGTTGTCACGCAGCAATGCAGGGGGGCGGCGAAAAAACGCTTCCACTCGGCTCGCCAACCCAGAGGGACGGAACAACCGCACATCTAGTTTACCCATAACATGACAATGCAGAGGGGTGGAGTGGCAGAACATATTCTAGTTTAGATGAGAGCGGCAACAGTGGGATGCCATTCTGCTCACCCCTATCCGTCACGTGGCAACGCAAGGGGGCGGACAGGTACTAATCTAGTCTACCCGGCACGTGGCAACGCAGGCGGACGAAAACATATCATCCGACTCTTTATCGTCGCTTGGCAGTGCAACGGGGACGATAACATACGATTCTACTCTAAGTCGTCGCTCGCGCGGCAATGCAGGGGGGCAGAAACATTACGATTATTCTCTGCTCGCCGCGTGGCAGCGCAGAGGGGTGAAACGAGTACATATCGAGTCTTTTCGTCGCGCGGCAACGCAGGAGGCGCGGAAACATATGATCATAGTCTTATTTGGCACGTGGCATCGCAGGGGGGAGGCGAAAACAGATCATCCCACTGTCCTCGTCAAGGGGCGGAGAGCATACAAGTCCAGTTTATTCGTCATGTGGCAACAGGGGGGGCGGGGAAATGCGATTCCGCTCGACCCGTCACATGGCAATGCAGAGGGGCCAAACAAATTAAACATAGGTTCTGTCCGTCGCGTGGCAACGCAAGGGGAGTGGAAGTAATACGTTGTCGGTTTGCTCGACGCCTTGCAAGGCAGAGGCAGAGAAAGCTCCGAAAACGTTTGCCAGCGGACCAGAGATTCACAAGACCCCAGGACCACGGCCCAGAGCCCTGCGTCCGAGACCAAGACCCAGGATTTCAGCTTCCAGCGTCCACGGGCTCGATCCGCGTCCCCAGCCTGCACAGGCCAAAATCAGCGCGCACTTCACACGAATCGCGCCCCTCAGGAACCTGGAATTATTTTTTGGCCCACGTAAAGCTGTGATAGACCACCGAATCTATGTTAAATCCTTACATTGAGCATTGTCCGAACTAAGGACCCCCGGTGAGGTGAGGTGAGACGAGGGGCAAGGATGGAGTGGAACCACGTAAGGAGGTGAGGGGAGGTGCAAGGAGGAGGGCTGAGAGGGAGCAGAGAAGGGGGGAGGAAGGTAATTAGGTGGTGGGAGCTGGGAGGTGTTTGTACAGTCCATCTTGGCTTGGCTGAGGCTCATTCTGCCATCGATTCATCTCGCCTCGCCTGGCCTGCTCAATATCATGTGTTCTCACGGGTCTACCGGCATAATCTGTCGATTGCCGACTCCGCGTTCTCCAGTTCCTCACGATGAAGAGCGGTCCTGAGGGAAACAGTCAGGAGGGGAAAAAACACAGACATAATGAATCGTCGATTCCGGGGAAAATACTGGAAAATGTGGGATGTGGGAGGGAAGACAAAAACCCAGAAAATATGGGGGATCTTTTTATTTGTGCGTACTTATTTGTGTGTCCCAGGGCCCCTTCAAAGAGGTCCGAGTTTGCTGTGGTGTCGCGTGCCCGAGGCCATTCCCAGGCTCCCGAGGGAGGGGGTCTTCAGATTGTTGTGCCACTTTCGTGCTCCCAGGGACCTTCCTGGGCCCCAGGACCTCACTGGAAGGCCGGTATTGGGGAAAGGCTAGTATTGGGGAAAGCTTTGGGTATCCATGACCCGCGTCGACAGGGTCCTTTTCCCTCGCGCAAATCAGTGGTTCTTTCGGGGCCCTGGATCGGCATAGTCAGCTCGAAAAGCTTCGCCAAAATGCCAGGTGGAGGACGAGTATCAGGAGGAGGAGGGGCGCGGAAGCAGATTTCGAGGATGTTGCCAGCCAGGCTTGGACAGAGCGGCGTTCTCTATTCAGGGTGCGCGCTGCTACAGCTTGCGTGCTGGCTGACCTGCATCATTTCAGAAGGGAGTGACAGGAAGGGACGAGGGGGACAGAAACAGGGGCCCTGTCGTTTAAGCATCCCTGCGCGATCATTGGCGGGGCACCCGCCCGCCCGTCCTCCTCCCTTCTTCCTCCCCCCTCTTTCGTGGAAGATGCATCCTTCCTCCTTCCTGCTCCCTCCTCCCCCCGCCCGTCTATACATCGATCCTCCTCCTTCTCCTCTCTCCTTCGTCCTATCTGCTACTCGCCCGCGCGCGGCAGGTCATGCAGAGCAGGAAGGAGTCGTTTGCAGAGGATCTGGACGCTGTCTGGAAGGCGCTCGAGAAGGGCGAGGAGTTTGTCCTATGTTCCCGCGGCGCACAGAAATGGCATGGGCGAGGGGGCGGTTTTCCGCAAACGGCATTTCGCCTCTTTTGAATCCGTCCGGCATTCAAAAAATCAGAAGCTCCCAAGAAGGACCAGGGCCCTTCTCAGAAGCCTCCAGCCTTCTTACAAGGCCCCCCATGGTTCAGTCCAGAGGTCTTCCGTCATTCCTTGGATCAGATTCGCCTGGGGAGTTGAGAATATGCAGGGAAGTGCATCACCACCCCCCTCCACCTTCACCCTCTCTTCTCCTGCCTCCTCCTTCCCCCCTTCTCCCCTGCTTCGTCCCCCCTCTCCTGAGGGGCATGCCTTCTCGTCAGCTGTGCATGTGCTTTCTGCTCTGCCCCTCTCCCCAGCCAACCCACTCTGCGCGAGTCATTGTGGACAGCGAGGGTCGGCGTCCCCGGCCTAGTATTACAGCTTCCCTCCTTCCCCGGCAGCGGAGAGGGCGGGAGCGGAGAGGCAGGCAGAGTGGACATGAGCGGGGGGGAAAGGGAGGGGTAAAATGGTCTGCGAGGGGAAGGAGTAGTGGAGGGCGACGGGGAGAAGGGAGACGGAGAGGAGGAGGAGGAGGAGGACGACGACGAGGAGAGGAGAAGGACGATGTGCAGGATGAGCATAAAGATGATAAGAAGAATGGGGTGGGGACGGGGGAGGGGCAAGGCGCAGTGAAGAGTGAGAGGGGAAAGGGGGGAAAGGAGGGTGAGGAGAAAGGAATGGTGATCGAGGGAGGGAGAAGAAAGAGAAGGAAGAGGTATGGCGACGAAGATGAGGAGGGTTATGAGGATGATGAGGCATGGTGAGCACAATGAAGAGGAGGAGGAGGAGAAGAAGGAAGGCTGGATGATGAGGAGTGTAAGGACAAGCGTGATAAATGCTAGCACGAATCAACATATTATGAGGCCATCAAAGAGACAGAGGATGTGCGGGAGGGTGGCGCGACACGACGGTCTCGCCATGGGTTTTTGCCCGTCTGCCTTCGAAGTCCCGCCCGAAATGGTAACGACAAGCTCTTTGATGATGAATCGTGTGTTCCACAATCTTCGAGCTCACAATCATCATACATCATTGTCATCATTAGCATCATCAGTCGCAATAGTACTGTCATCATGATCATCAGCACCATCATCACCATCATCATCACAATCAGCACAATTATCATTGGCACCACCGCCGCCATCATCATCATCAGCAGCATCATACTCATCGTCATCACCATCGTCACCATCGCCATCGCCATCATCACCATGTTTATCATCATTATCAACAACATCATCATCAATACCATCATCAGCACCATCATGATCGTCATCATCATCAGTAGTATCATCTTCTTAGTCGCCGTCATCACCATCAACCGCATCAGCATCACATCAGTACTACCATCACCACCATCACCATAATCATCATGTTTGCCATCACCATAGTCGTCCTCATCTTCATCAACAGCATCAACAACACATCAATATCATCAGCACCATTGGTGTCATATTCATCATACTGAGCATCATCATCAATACCATTAACATCATCGTCATCAGCATGTGCCATCATCATCTTCAGCATCGGCATCATCTCAGTCGGCATCACCATCGACAACATCAGCATCACATCAATATCATCATCACCACCATCATCATAGCCATCATCATCATCAGCAGCAACATCATCATCTTAGCCGTCGTCATCACCATCAACAGCATCAACATCACATCAATACCATAATCACCACAATTATTCGACTCGTCAGAATGATCATCATCAGCATCAATACCATAATTATCATCATCACCGCATAACCTTTCTTAGCCACTGTCATCACCATCGACAACATCAGCATCACATCAATATTATCAGTACCACCATCATCATAACCATCATCATCATCAGAAACATCATCTTAGTCGTCGCCATCACCATCATCAACTATCAACATCACAACAATACCATCGTCATCACCATTATCATAATCAGCATACTCATCATCATCATCATCATCATCATCATCATCATCATCATCATCATCATCAACATAATCATCAACATCATCATCATCATCATCATCAGCAGCAGCACTATCGTCGTCATTAGCCTTGCCATAGTAGTGTTCCCTTGCGTTCCTCACTCCTCTCTTCTCCTGATCCTCCTTCTCTCATCCTTTTCCGCCTCTTCTGCTCTCCCTCCCCCTCTCTCAATCCCACCATCATGCTACTCCGTGTGCCCGTGATTATCGTGCCGCTCCTCGTCCTCCCCCTCGCTCGAAAACACGCCTTGCGCTCGCTGCCAGCTCAGGCTGAACGGATCGTCTCCGAACAGCTCCTCCGGTTCCATGGCTCGTCCCCCTCGCCCGCATCCGCCCTCGTGCAGAAGAACTGGTTATACTCCTATCGCCTCTCATCGTGCTGCTCCTCCCCATCCTTCTGCCTCCAGCCACCACATTCTCCCGTTTGTTCTCGTCATGCTCCTCCGCCTCCTTGCTCTTTTCCCCCCCATGCCCCCCCCCCCTCCCGTCCATCCTCCTCTCCGCCTCATCTTTCCCCTCCTCGACATCCTACCCTCCCTGCCGCTACTCGTCTTCCCCCCTCCTGCTCCTCCTCCTCCTGCCCCGTCGAGCCCTTCTGCCTCCTGCCGCATGCTGGCTTATCCCGCCTGCATCCGCTCCATCTCCAGGCTCGGCTGCCGCCTGCCTCCTCAAGCCCCCTCTCTCCCCTCCCCCCCTTCCCAACATCCTGCTCATCCGCGGTCGTGCCCTCTCCAGCCCCCCCAGGTCCTTTTGATTGCGCCTCCGCAAGGAAGAGCCGGTGGTGGTTCTGGCGCGAAAGATCATGGAGCTGCGGTCCGGGCACCGGATGCCCAGGGAGGACGCGGGTGGGGGGGGGGATGGAGGAGGAGGAAGAGGAGGAGGAGGAGAAGGGACTAATGTAAACCCAAGACTCATCAACGGTATTGCAATAAACCCTCCCTCCAAGTGTCCTTCTTCACAGGCCCCTTGTAAGGATTCAGTTTCACTGAGTGAAGTGCCACGTTGGAAGACAATCATTTGAAAATCATAAGCTGTGCGAGAACGCCATTCCTGGGGCTCCAATGCCGCGAATCACCGCTACTGTTTCGTACTGTCGACCCTGAATCGTGCCAGAACGCCGCTTTTGGGATTTGAACACCACCAATCAACGTAACTGTTGCGCCCTGACAGTTCGACCTCGTGCCAAAACGCAGTTTGGGGGATGTTAGCCATGGGAACCCTTGAAACTGTCGTCAACACTTCCAGCGGTTATGCGCGGCGCTTGGGCGAGAGCCACGCTTTGAAAAGGAACCGCCCTCCATCCGTGAAGCTGCTGAAAATTGTTAAGGCGAGTGCCCGCGGCGCTAAGGCGAGAGCCGCACTTTGAAACGGTCCGCCCTCCATCCGTGAAACTGCTTCAAGTTGTTAATACGAGTGTGCGCGGCGCTGGGGCGAGAGCCGCATTTTGAGAACGGCCCGCCCTCCGTCCGTGAAAATGATGCAAACTGTTAAGACGAATGTGAGCGGCGCTGAAACGAGAGCCACATGTTGAAAACCACCCGCCCGTCATCCGTGAAGCCGTTGTCAGTGTCAAGCTTCACCGTCATGGATCGCGAGGAAGCCTCGGGCGAAACGCCAGGCCCGCCCCTTCGACCAGCCTCCGGGTGCGACAGGGAGAAGCGATTTACAAGAGGAGGGAGGAATATTAGAGGAGGAGCACCTCAAGGAGAAGGAGGCCGCCCTCCTCGGGAAAACTGCCCCCCCCCCCCCCCCAGGAGGCTGCGAGGTCTCGGCTGGGTCTGCGTACTCCCTCACTTCTTTGCGCCTCCCTGGTGCCAACGAAAGTGGCGACATTTGCGCACTTCGCAGCACCCCCAGGGAACCGCGAGGTCTCGGCTGGGTCTGCGTACAACTCCACTCCGCTGGGCCTCCCAAGAGCCTATCGACTGCACCACCGTCTACATCTTTTCCCAGCCGCGCCAGCGGACAAAGCAATGGAGATGTTGATGTTCTTTCTCCTCCTGAACCTTCTGATCGCCTGAACCTCTCTCTGCGTCCCCAAGTTTTTGGACATGGAGCTTCTGCGCCGGCCCGGGGCAAAGATACCACGCCGACCACATGCTCCATTACCTCTTCTTCTGCTTGGCTACAGCCTCAATGCCACCACCATTCATTGGGTGGCACTCTTGGCCCGCATCGTCGCCTGCCCCACGGTCCTCGGGTTGACCCTCAAGATCCTCCCCTGCATCGCCCCCCTCCCGACGCCGCTGCCTCCAGCCTGGCTTCGACCCCGCTCAAGGTGGCAACTTGGAATGTTCGAGGCCTCGCAGAGACAAAAATCGAGGAGATGATTGTACATATGGGCAACTATGGCATTGATATCCTGGCAGTGCAAGAGACTCGCCGGGCGAAGGCAGAGATCTTCGAAGTCAACGGCTATCAAGTCATACTGTCTGGAGATGACTCCGACGAGCAAGTATGGGCGGGTGTGGGATTCTTCACATCGCCTTAATGCCAGCACTTGGTCAAGGCCTACAAGCAGATACCCGACATATTGGCATGGATTAGATTGAGAACTCGCTCTGGGATTGTGGCATTATTTACTGGATATGCTCCTCATAGCCTTAAGCCGCTACCTGAACGTCGTCATTTTTACGCCACGTTGGATTCGGCATACCGATCTTGCAATGCAAGCGCGGGGAAATTGTTTCTGGGCGACTTCAATGCCAGGATGGGGCGGGCTCAGCGGGGAGAGCAAGATATCATGAGAGATTTCGGTTGGGGACGGCGTGCTCAACGCGAAGTTGAACAATCTAATCGAGACTTGTTGGTCGAATTCTGCACGGGTTGCCACCTTCAGGTTGCACACACTTTCATGCAGCAGCCGCTCGAGCAGAATATCACGCTCATGGAGGCCAGGGCGTCGCCTGCAGACGCAATTTCAGAAAATATGTTCAATATATTGGATTTTGTCTTGTGCGAAGCTCCTTTGCGAATGCAAATCGCTACTGTGGAAAGCCGCCGGGAAGCAGCCCTCGCTGCAGACCATTTTCTGGTGATTGCTACGCTCTCTATGCCAAGAGATACCCAAGTACCGTATGCAAAAGGACGTCAAAACAGACATGCCATACAAGACCCGGTCGATTTGAATGCCTACGTGGATATATGTTTTACAATATGTGGCATCGGAGACGGCGGAACCAATGAATCTGAATGAGATGTGGGAGGAAGGCAAGACCGCATTGTAGACTGCAGCCGAGACGCTGCCGAGACGCCAGAACGAAGTCGTGAAGCCATGGATCACGCAAGTCACGCTTAACTTGATCGACCGGCGAAGCCAAGCAAGGGCAGCCAACGACAAGCTCGAGGAGAAACGATTATTGAAAGAAGTCCGCAAGGCATGCAAGCACGATAAGACAGCCTGGGTGGACGCATAAATATCAAGCGGACGCTGGGACTCTCTCAAAAGACGCTGCCGGCCCAAACCACGCCGACAAGGAAGGCTCAAGGACATGAACGGCGAGTTGGTCGACAGCACGCAGAGAGCGGACACCGTGGCCGAGTATCTAGAAAAAGTGCAATGGCAAGTACGAGTGGCCCAAATTGTCGACGACGGTCCTGTTGGTGACCCACTACCAGTTCTGGAATCAGATTTCACAGCAGAAGAGGTAAGCAAGGCGACTCATAGACTTAAGCGTGGCAAAGCCTGCGGAATGGACGACATACCGGCAGAAAATTGGAAAGCAATTGCCACGGACCCGGGCGGGCTCGATTGGATTACGGATGTGTGTTACAAGTGTTGGAACGAACAAGCCGTGCCAGAAGATTGGAAGCAATCCATTGCTTCCACTAAATATAAGGGGCCCTCGACAATTGTGACAACTACCGTCCCATCAGTTTGCTGTGCGTGGCCTACAAGCTTATGGCAGTACTTATCTTGAAGCGGCTACAAGACGCCGGAGCCGAAGACACATTGACGCCGACGCAATTTGGTTTCCGCCGGGGACGTGGGACATCAGAGGCATTGCGCGCAGTACGTCGTCATATCGAATTGGCATATGCGGACAAGCATGGTGGCGTAGCCTTCGTCGCGCTGGATTGGAGAAAGGCTTTTGATTCGATCAACGTGAGCGCGCTGCTGAAGGCGCTGCAAGATTTTGGGGTCCCCGGCCGGATCCTGGACATCATTGGCAACACCTACGGCGGAAGGACGTTCCGAGTCGCTGATGGACGGCAGCGGTCTACAGAGAGACATCAGTATTCCGGAGTATCGCAAGGTTGCCCGCTGTCCTCGTTCTTGTTTGTGATGGTGATGACGATGGTTATCCGGGACGCCACGCGCCACGCAGAAGGTGGAGTAAGCCGAACTTTGGTGGAGCAATATTTGGCTATATTGTTGTATGCTGACAATACATTGTTAGTGGGCCGCAATCAAGATCATTTACAATCTTTGTTGGCAGAAATCGCTCGCGCAGGAGCACGTGTGGGCATGGAGCTTCAGTGGGACAAGTTTCAACTTATGCTGGTTCGCTGCGACACCAGCCTCCGGACGCCCAGTGGTGATTTCAGTCCAGCAAAAGATTCAATGGTATACCTTGGCGCCACGCTGTCAAGCTCTGGGCGGCTATCTGGAGAGCTTAGAAGGAGATTGGGAGCGGCTCGGGGTGAGTTCTGTAAGTACGCGCGCGCCGGGAAGCACACGGCTATCAGTACAGTTCGGAAAATCAACATATTCGAAGCACTCGTGACGAGCAAGGTCATGTATTCTTTGAACTCGGCATGGCTACAGAAAGCAGATCGGCGAAGATTGGACGGATTCCAATGTAGGTGTTTACGATGTATTTTGCATATCCCTCCCGCGTACATTTTCGCGGATTTCCAATAAGCAAGTCTTGGCGCAAGCGGGCCAACAACCTTATACTGCGCAGCTCCTGAAGCATCAGCTGTTGTTGTTCGGCGAAGTCGGCCGGTCTACTACATCTGACCCGCTCCGCCGCCTCACCTTTCAGCTGGGCAGCCTGAGGCCGGCTACAGATGCGTGCGTTCGTGGAGTAGGGCGGCCGAGGCAAAATGGGCAAAAAGCTTGTTCCGTTCTGTTTCACAGAAGTTTGATACACATGAGCAGATGATGGCTTGCGCTCGTGATCCAGTTGCTTGGCGCGAATTCGTAGTTGATTTTGCTTATTCCCCCCCTCCTCCTCCTCCTCCTCCTCCCCCTGCTGCTGCTGCTCCTACTCCGCCCCAGCCGCTGGCGATGTAGATTAAGAGGCCGCACAGGCGCCGCCGTTACCGCAAAGCGGAGATTTCAGGCGGGCAGGATTTATCTTCGCCCACGCGCTGCGGCGTATGGCATGACTGACTGACTGCTTCTCAGTTCGCAGCCCCCCCCAGGGAGCCGCGAGGGGGGAGGGGGAGGAGGAGGAGGATGCGGAAGGAGGCAGACCACAGTGCCATATTCAAAACGAGACCCCAGCACAGAATTGCCGGGATAACCCATGCAAAGTGAACGTGGGGTGTCCGCGCATGATCCAGACTCTGATGCATCGTGCTCTTCGTACAGTCTTTGTCTGCAAGGGATGGCGGGGGGGGCATGGTCCCGGTTGTGTCGCTGGTCTGGTTGGGGAGGGGGTGCATATCAACCAGGAGCAGTGTTCAAGCTACCCCACGCGGCAAACCGCGTCGCTCGCTGCCACCCGCCCTCCCAGCACATGGGCAGCATCCGAGCCTGGCGCCCCGATCCGATTCAGTTCATGCGCAGACAGTAGAAGGGCACCCCCGCCGTCCCTGTCAAAAGAAACCATGCGTAGTGATCGCTTCTCCCACGCAGGATCCAGATGCTGCCCCCGAGTGCACGCTGTATGG